CGGCGACGGCCGCCAGCGCACGGACCGCCGCACTGCGCTGGTCCACCACCTGGCCAGGCGCACCGATGACCTCGTCCCCGCCGCGAGGCCTGCGGCCGCGGGCACAGAGCAGCCGCCCCGCACCGACCGCGAAGCCGAGCTGTCCCAGTCTATGGCAGCTCTCCAGCAGAGGTGCGCAGCTCTCGCCGCCGACCTTGCCGCTGCCCAAGCCCGTCAAGGCCCTTTGCTCCAGCGCCTCCACCGCGCCGGTCGTGCCTTCGCCGAGCTGCTTACACCCCCGCCCGATGGTACTGCGCCGCCACTCACCCTCCATGCTATGCTGTCATCGCTCCGCGACGCTCCGCCTGGAGCCCCGCGCTAATCTCCGCCATTCTGCCTGCCCGTGTGCACGCGTGGCCCCGCGTCCACGGTGTCAGGGCGTGGGGGCGGGGGGTGCCCCGTCCCTGCGCGCCGCGCTGCGGCCAAGCGCCCAACTGGCGGTCTGCCAAGCCGCCTAGCCACGTGTCCGCACGTCGCCTTTCTTGTTGGGGCCTTCTTCGTCACGCGGTCTGACACGTGAGATCTTCACAGTCTGTCCGCCGTCCGTAGCTTCAGACGCAATGCGCCGGGGGAGGGGGTCTCTGCCCGCCCTCGTATCCTAAGGCTGCACCGCCGCCAATAGTGTTTTGCGGGTTGTCGCACCGCAGTGCGCCTCGCGGACGGGCCCTGGTCCGCCTACTTGTCCGGTCTCTCTCTCTCTCTCTCTCTCTCTCTCTCTCTCTCTCTCTCCCTCCTCTCTCTCTCTCTCTCTCCCGACAGGCCCAGCAATGCAGCGGGTGCGCGGTCTGAACTGAGCCGCGCCAAATTTCCGTCTCAACCGCGGAATGCAAGTCGGCAGATTTCAAGGCTGACCCGCGTCTGCCATGCTAGGGAAGGCGGTAACGGGGGGGCGCTTGCAGCCTTGTGCCCCCCGAGGCCTCGACGGACCGCAGAACTCCCGACCCGGGACCTGCCGAGAGCGATCAGGTGCTGGGTGCCCCGGATCCCTTTGGCCCGCTCCCTGTACCCACCACCCCAGCTCGCGCGCCCGATCGCATCTATTGCCCCCTCTTTGCCTTGCCTGCTTTCAGGGATTTGCTAAAACTTGAACAACCACCAGAGGTGGCGCACCTCTCCGTGGAAGTCCTGGCGGCCGCCGGAGTTCTGGAGGGGCCAGCTGAAATCGCGATGAACCTCTGCCCGTGCCGATCCGTGGCCTGCGACCATATCTATGTCTACGCCGGCGGCTCCTTATATCGGGGGGGGGGGGGGGGGCAGAACCTGGGCCAGGTGTGCGGTGGCGTGGATAGTTCGCGCGGCACGGAGCTGTCAATCCGCCGACCCCTTGTGGGTCTCTAGGCGTGCAAGATTATCCACGAACCAGCAATTCGACCCCCCCCCCCTCCCCCCCTCGCTCGGCCGGGCCCCAGACCGAACGCGCCCCGGGGGAGCGGAGGGCTCCAAAACTGGCCAAGAAAACACAAAAACGCTCCCAAGACGGCCCCAGCCGGCAAAAATCGCCCTGGACGCCCACGATGGCCTCCAGGTGGCCTCCGAAGCTGCCAAGACGCCCCAAAAGGCCACCAAGATGCGCCCAAAGAGGGCCCCAAGAAACAAACATCGCCACATTCCCTTCGAAAGAACTCGCATGCTCGCCCATTCGGCTTCCACAACGTCCCAGACGGGCAAAGAAACCTTCAATATCGCCCCCAGCCAGCCAAATGGGGCCCCCAAGAAGGGTCGAAGAGGGTCCAACAACAGCCCCCGAAGCCCCTAAGACAGGCCATGAGGCCCCCCAGACGGCTCCAAGACGGAGCCCAGAGGGCACCTTTTCGAACCTTCGGCCCCAAGACGTCCCCAGCCTGGCCCACAAACAAACCAAGAGGCTCTGAGGGGCCCCTAAGAGAACCGCAAGGGCGTCCAAGAAGCCCCCAGGAAGCCCCCAAGAGGCCCCAAAACTTGGCCCAAGATGCCTCGAGGCGGCTGTGCGTGGCCTGCAGACGAGCCAAGACGCCACCAAAAGGCCACAAAAGAACACCAAGAGGTACGAGAACAGCAACGAAGCAACAGGGACGATGTCGAGCGCCGTGTCGTGAATCGGACAAGCCTCGTGACATGCAGTCCTGGAGGCGCAGTAGTTTACATTGGGGTCGGCGGATGTGGCGTAAGCCTGTAGATAGAAACGGCCTATAACACGACGCTCGAGCTGATTGCAATAATGTGGGCCCTGTTCTCCATATGTGCCACCGCGCCAGGCTGCGTGGTCAGCCCCATCGGCGACTCGCTCTGCGCGCTCGCCACGGTAGGGGGGTCAGTGCTTCCAGTGTCTGACAAGGAACTAGGCCTTGCGGTGCGCGAGTTGTCCCGGACAGTCCGCTCCCCGGTGCAAGTGGGAGCCCGGCGCCAGACGGCCCGCGTGGGCCACTCATGGAACGCCCTTGCCGATAACATTGCTAGAGCGGTGAGACCCACCCCTCCTCGGGCCCCCAGTCAGTCTCGCCGGTGCGGTCACTTGCGCGGGCTCGAGGGAGTGGGGGCGACTGCAGCGCGGCACTCGGGGTAGCCGTGCGTGCCCAACATTTTTCCCAACCATCCTGTTGTGCTTGGTCCTCGTTTTGAAGAGACAGCGCCCCGCGTTCCCACTCCTCCCCTCCTCCCCCCCCTTCTCCCTTCTCCGCCCGCCCGGGACAGCGTTTCGCGGCCCCGTAGGGGGCTCCGCCGAAGGCTCCAGTGGCCCAGGTCGCACGCGTCGACGCCGCCCAGGACGGCGCTCCGTGGCCCCATAGGGGGCTCCACCGAAGGCCCCAGCGGCACAGGCCGCATGCGCCGACGCCACCCAGGACAGCGCTTCGCCGCCCCATGGGGGGCCCCACCGAAGGCTCCACCGGCACAGGCCGCATGCGTTAACGTCACCCAAGACAGCGCTTCGCGGCCCCATGGGGAGCTCCACCGAAGGCTCCAGTGGCGCAGGCCGCATGCGTCAACGCCACTCAGGACAATGTTTCGTGGCCCCGTAAAGAGCTCCACCGAAGGCTCCAGCGGCGCCGGCCGCGTGCGTCAAAGCCGCCCAGGACAGAGCCCACTCTGGAACATCACGCTCGATCGCGCCCCGAACGTCCCGAGCCAGCGCCTCAGAACAGGGCCCCGAGAGAGGGGCCAGCTTGCACTTCGCGGCTTTCAGTTAGCCATCTCCGACGCACAGGACATGACTTGTGACGCCAGGGACAGGGCCTGAACGGACCGCAGGGCGCCACCGATATCGTCCGCGCAAGCACGAATAAGGCCCAACTGGGGCCCTTCGATCTTCGCGGCCAGGTCCACCAGGAAAGCGGTGGCGCCCGGGGCGTAAAGGGTGCCAGAGAGGGGGCATCCCTGAATGATGCCACTTTGGATCCAGAAAACGCGCTCGAAGTGCCCAAGGTGCAAGGTGACCCCCTCGATCGACGAGTAGATGGACGAGACGCACTGCGCGAGGGGCCCAGGGGGGCCCATGAGGCTGAGGCAGAACATCAGGAAGTCCTGGTTGAGAAAGGGGAAGGCCTGGCCGAAGTCGAGGGAGAACAGAACTGGGATGTCCCGCGAGGCATGGGGAGTGACGGACAGGATCCTGCTCGAGGCGTGAGTCTAGCTCGAGGATGTTGACCCCGAAGTTCCGACTATGAACAAATCCGCGCTGGCACGGAGGAGCCAGAGCCTGCAGCGCAGGTCGGGCGGCGTGGTTGACCGCCGCGGAGATGATCTTGAGGTCGCAATTCCGAAGCCCCAAGACCCGAACCTTGTCAGGTGACCGAATGCACGCGCGGTCCCTGAGCTCGTCGTCAGTGACGTTCTTCGGAAGAAAAATCAGAATCGTGCCCCCCGAACAGGCGAAGAGCTCCTGCCCCTTCAGGATCCACTCGAAGGCCTCCCAGAGTATGTCGATACTGATAGGTGACGCTGCCCACGCAGAGTATGGGGGGGGGGGCGTCTGGGCCAGGAGCCGAGCGCCGAGCAGACCGAATTGCACGACGAATCATCTCCCGAGATGGCGGCGGCAGCGACACATGGTGAGCATTCGGAAGGTGACGACGGAGATAGGCACCAGCAGCAGCGGCATCCCACGGCTTCTTTCGGAATACAGGTGCCCAGTAGGCAGGGAGCTCACGGAGGCGATCGGCTGGGTCAGATACCACACTCCCATCTGCACCAGGGGGATCAGAGGCGAGCCCGCCGTTCAAGAGCTCGACGCTGGCAGCGAGTCTGGAAACGATCCCCGTCCCGGCGACGTAAAGACTCCAGTTCCTTGCGCGAGACTTCAGCAGCCTCGCTCTGAATCTGGTTAACCCAGGCCTGTAAGGATGGTGGATGCCGAAGCTCGACGCGTCCCGACGCGAGGGGAATGAAGTCCCCCGAGAGCGGATGGGAATCCAGAAGGCGAGCGGCGAGTCGACGGTCCTGGCGCCAAACAACCCTGGCGAGCGACCGAGCGAGCTGCACGAGCGTGGTCGGATGATGAGGACGATGACGAAATAGGGCATCCCTAGTCTCGGCGGCAGCAATCTTCATGAGCTCCTTGTATTTCTCCAGCGTGACTGGGGGTGACAGAGATTCCCATGGCACAGCCCCGCAGAAGCCCTCCAGACGACGCCGAAACGCAGCCTCTCCAAACAGGTGCTTCTGGATGGGCCTGGAACTGGGAGGGCGAGCCGCGCGGGCGGACATGGTGAGAAGGACTGCAGCGTGATCAGAAACCTTGCGCTCCGATAGCGACTCGGGGGTGCCAACCGTGGAGACCTGCGAACGAATTTGACACATTTGCCAGCCCGAGAAAGAGCAGAAGATGCGATCTATGGATGAGCACGAGCCAGACGATTTTTCGAAGTGCGAAGGGTCTTCGCACGCAATCTCTGTGAGGACCGAAAGCGCCTCGCGCCAGCGATGCTCCTGCCCGCGGCGCCGCCTGTCACCTCGACGGGCGGCTGCGGAGGGGGGGCGCGAGCGACAGCGCGTCGTGCACGGCAAAATTGAAGTCCCCCAGCACGAAGGTGGCGCACATGTCTGGGTCCTCCGGTGCACGAAGTCGGGAGGCCTTGATCGTCTCAACTGCGTAGCGGATGTCGGCCTGGGAGAGCTCGTGGATGTGGGCGTTGAGGATGTCGGCAGAGTGGGAGGAAGACGAGATAGTGACTACGTGCGCACGCCCAGGAATGAGCACCCTCTGCGCTGTAGTCGGCATCGCGCCATTGGAGCAGCCCGCGAGCGGAGGTGCCAAGATAGCCACTCCACCACGAATATGACCTGTCAACGGGTCCTGCTCGAAGCTGGAGTAGGCGGAAATGTTCGACGCGACGGTCGCAATGAACGAGACTAGCTGGTGGTGGTCCTGATGGGTCTCCTGGAGCGCAATGACGGTGCAACTTGGGCGGGTATTGTGCAAGTAAGCCTTCATGATGTGTGCCTTGTCGCCGCCGGCCTGGAGGGGGGCCCCGGCGTTCCACGTGCCAATGCGTAAGGTGGGGGCCACGGCCGAGACGGAGCAGGGGCGAGCAGGCTAGCAGCGCTAAAGAGACCACTGGGAGGGGTCCGACGGGTGCGTGATGTCGCGGCAAGCGGCGCGCAGGGTCTCGACATCCATGCCATGCTTGCTGAGAGCGGGGATGTCCCAGAAGATCTTGGGCGGCGCATCTCCGTGAGACACTTGAAACTGCATGGGCCTGTCCCAGCCGAGCGAGAGGACGGCGCGCTCTTTGTCCGAGAACAGGCGCCTGCCAGGGTACTGAAGCTCAACAGCCGGTCGTACTTTGCGAACTGTGATCTTCTGCTTGATGCGCTTTGGACTCTTGTCGGGGCCGAGGTGGAACCTGCGCATCTCTGCGCCAGGTGGTGTAACCCGAAACTCCTTCCAGCCCGATTGATCACGAAGACTTGAAATGGTGGAGCGGGCTCTGCGAGCAGCAGCGCCAGACGGTCCCTTGAACTGCACCTCGAAGCGGCGGGCGGGAGCCGAGCCACGAAGCACGATGGAATAGTCCTCGCTGGTGAAGTTGAGCCCCTCGAGCCAGGGCTGCAAGGGGGCGACGATGCTAGCCTGGGTGGTGGGCTTCTTAGCGACGGCGACGACGATGGTGCAGTCCTCAGCGCGCTCGAAGGAGGAGGGCGGGGGCTGCTCGTCGCGGAGGGCGGCGGCGGCGAGGGCAAGCTGCTTGCGGAGCTCCGCGACCTGATCCCGCAAGGAATCGATGTCAGAATCGTGGCGGTCAAGCCTGGCCTGGGCAGCAAGGAGCTGCGCAGTGTGGTCATCGATCTGCGCCTGGAGGCGGCGGCTGACGGCATCGAGCCGAAGGACCAGCGCCGACTGCACCTGCTGCTCGACTGCTGAAGCCTGCTTGGCGACCTCAGCCTGCATGGCCGAGAACATGTTGAGGAGGGTGGTGTGGTTCTCGCCCATTGTCTTGGAGACGCTGCTGCTGACCTCGGCGGCGGTCGTGCCGCGCATGTGCTCGAACTCCTCGCGGCAGACCTGCCTGAGCTTCTCGTCAAAAGTGAAGTCGTCGGCGTCCATGTCTACGGGCCCATCAGAACCAGGGTCGACAGGGACATCAGCAGCAAAACGTTTGCGAGCACCCGAGCGGGGGGTGCCCTTGCCTTTGCCAGCACCACGGGGCGGGGCCTCCTGGCTGGGGACGGTCGGCACGGAGTCGACGGCCTCGGCGAGCTCGCGCAGCTGCGAGCGGAGCGCCATCAGCCATGTCACGAGGAGAGGGAAGAGTGTCCGCCAGCCGCTGAAAGCTGGATGGCCCTGATCGAAGGCTGCCTCACTCAAAACGGGCCTGTCCCGAACTTGAGCCACAATGGCAACGGAGGAGGAGGAGGGAGGAGGAGGGAGGAGGAGGAGGAGGAGGAGGAGGAGGAGGACGAGAAGAAAAGGAGAGGCGACGCCTGCCGCACTGCCGCAGCGGCCCCTACATTATGCGCCGCCGCCGCGCACTGCGCGCGCCTCCCCTGGCGAATCGGACGGCGGAGCGGCGCGGCGGCTGCCTCCGCCTCTGCCCTCTGCCTACGTGGGCCCCTTCGTCCTGCCCTCCCTGTTCTTCTCCTCGTCCTGCTGCTACTGCTGCTGCTGCTGCTCCTCCTCCTCCTCCTCCTCTTGCTCCTCCTCCTCCTCTTCCTCCTCCTCCTTCTCCTCCTATTGCACCCTAACCTCCGTGTCCTCCTCCTCCTCCTCTTCGTTATGTTCCTCCTCCTCCTCCTCCTCCTCTTTATTTCTCGTACTCGTCCTTATCATCCTCTTCCTCTTCCTCCTCCTCCTCCTCCTCCTCTTCCTCCTCCTCCTCTTCCTCCTCCTCCTCTTCGTCCTCCTCCTCCTCCTCCCGTTCCTCAAAGCTGGATGATTGAGGTTCGACTACAGACGCTTTTGGGCGTTGCGGGCATTTGCGGGACATCTTCAGCCTCCAACGCCCTGCTGAGATCTCCGCGGGGACATCCGAGGATGTCTAGAGACCTCCGGAATGATGAGGGGGGCCGAAACGGGAGTGACCCCTTGCATTCTTACCGAGAAACCCCCTTTGGACCTCAGCCCAGGCGCCTCCATCACGTGCTGATCCTCATCCCCCTCCTCCCCCTCCTCCTCCTTCCCCTCCTCCCCCTCCTCCTCCTCCTCCTCCTCGTCCTCCTCCTCCTCCTCTTCCTCCTCCTCCTCCTCCTCCTCGCTTCCTCCTTCTCCTCCTCTTCCTCCTCCCCATCTCACGGGAATCGCCAGGGGGGGACCGGCTGAGAGGGGAAACATCGGCCTGGAATCGACGATGCGTCGCTGATAGATCGGCGATCGCCGATAGATCGTCCAGGGCAGGGTGGGGCACCCAAGCCCCCGTCGGCCATGGATGGGCGATTGGGGGTCGATGTTCCCCTCAGAAGTCGCCCCCCCCTCTCAGCGCCACTGGGACGAGATGGACGAGGGGGGAATGGAGAAACATGTGAGGGAGGATGGCAAACGCATGAAAGCGCGAGGACGAGGTGGAGGAGAAGGTAGTCATCCCAACCATCCTGTGTTGAGTTGGGCACTCGTTTTGAATCAGCAGCGCCCCGCGTCTCCTCCTTCCTCCTTCCTTCTTCCTCCTCTCCCCTCCTCCTCCTCCTCCTCCTCCTCCTCCTCCTCCTCCTCCTCCTCCCATTTCTGCCTCAGCCCTCCGCATGTCCACTTCGGCACACCCCTCACACGTCACACGTCTCGAGGTCCCATAGGAAGCTCCAGCTAATGCCCAAACTTTGGGCTTCGCATGGCGGCAATGCCCTAATTTAGGCACACCCCTCACACGTTTCGTGGCCCCATTGGGAGCTCCACCGAAGGCTCCAGGGGCAGGGTCGCAAGGCGGCGGTGCCTCATTCCATCGCACCCCTCACGCACGTCGTGGCTCCATAGGGAGCTCCACCGAAGGCTCCAGTGTGCACCCCTCGCACGTGTCGTGGCCCCATAGGGAGCTCCAGCTAACTGTGAAGCTGACGCTGCTTGCATGCATGTTTTTTTGTCCTGGACCTTTCCTGTTGGTCTGGGGTCAGTGCTGGGCGCTAGTGTGCTCCTTCAGGCCCTTCACGGGCCTCCCTACGTATGCCTAGCCCTTTCCCGTGTCCTCTCCCCTCCCTCCTCGCCTGAGGTGCCTCGCCCGTCTGCTCGCCCGCCACCATACTGGATCAGGCCTTGAATCGCCTCGGTTTGGAAAAGTCGACCGCCGCGGGCTCGACACCCCGGCGGCCGCGCCGCCCCCAGACTGATAGGTCCCTGCGGGACCCGGCCTACAGGAGGCCAGCATCATCAAGCAGGAGGGCTCCCAGGAGCCCAAGGTCAAGCAGACAGATCAGAGAGTCCAACGGTGCTAGTGCGCCCTTCGCACTGGGAGCTGAGCCGTGGGGTCATCACGGCTGCCAGTGGGCGTGAGTTGAGCAGCCTCGGCAGTGACGCGTGGCTAGACGCAGATATGCCTGAGACGACAGACGGCTTGCAAGGAAGAGATCGTCAAAGAATCCATGGGTTTACGAGGACTGGAGGAGGTCGGTGGAGAGTGCACGCTAAATGTCTGACCTCGGCGGCGCGAAGCTGGTCGTGGTCGCCTTCCTGTCACTGCAGGGCGAGGCAAGAAGCTAGGCTCGCCACATCCCCTGCGAAGAGCTGACCGACGAAGAAGCCAGCGGACTGAAGAAGCTGTACGCGGCCCGCGACAAGAGGTACAACAAACAAGACCAGGATAAACTTCGAGTACGCGTTGGCCAAGTACGACCGCTGCAGAAGGGCAGCGAGGCAGAGCTTGGCGGAGTTTCGTACGGATTTTGCTCAAGTGCAGGAGCGAGTACGAGCTGACAGACCAAGAGGTGTCGCAGAACGCCTACGCGCGGAAGATGCTGAAAAGCTGTGGCCTCAGCCGTGACGAGCAACGGAATGTGCTGGTGCAGGATATGGGGACCCAGTAACATCGAAGAGGCGCTCGTCATGCTGTACGGGGACGCACACGTAGACTATGCCCGCCAGATGGACCGCCCCTCGGGCACCCAACTTCGAAGATGAATGGGTACCCGCCGACGCGCTATGGTCCGACCATTTCGAGCGGAAGCAAATTCTGCAAGCCCCAAACGGGCTCAGGCAAGGGCAAGTACGGCACGTACCACAATGATGCGGACGACTACGATCAGCCAGACGAGTCGGCCATCGGCGACGACTGTGACGACTGGGACGACCCAGACGGGACGGACTTCCAGGGCTGCGATCGAGACGAGGAGTTGGACGAAGAGGTCTCGGACCCCGAGGCGGAGCAGGAGAAGTTTGAAACGTTCGCGCGAAAGGCATGGAAAGCGTTCAAAGGGAAGAAGACACTGTCAAGCAAAGCTTCGGGCAAGAGTACGACCAAGAAATCGACAGGCAATTGCATGGACTGCGGTGAGTACGGCCACTGGGGTGACGAACTATGACAACCTGTACGCCGAATGGCAGAAGTGCGCATCCTGTGCTAAGAGGCACTGGTACCACGACAGGAAGACGAGCAAGACCGAGTACTACACTGGCGAGAAGGCTTGCCACTTCATAGGGATGGTGAAACAAGCCATCAACGGCTCCAGCAATCAACGCGAAGTACCTGAACATGCACTACACTGTCTACCAACTGTCCAACGGGGACGTCTACATGATAGCGGGCATCGGATACCGCAAGAGTGCTGCTGGACCAGCATGGCATGCCGCGATGACCAATAGATGTGCGAATGAATCTAGGTCTCAAGCCCGTGGCAAGGCCTGTGGACGAAAGCTTCAAGTTCCGATCGGAGTCTACGGCAAGATGGGCAAGGTCGACGTGGCTTACATCGATCGGGATTGCCCTGAATCGCTCAGCCGATCAACCCGGGAGACAACGGCACCTACGAGGTGATGAGGCACGAGCTGCGCCGGATCAGCCATGGCTTGAAGAGGCTGCCCAAGTGCGCGGAGTTGCTCTACGGCGCCTACGACAACGAGGCTAAGGAGAAGAAGGTCCGAGGCGTCCCAGGCTCCTGGAAATATGCACCTGGACGTGCATCGTGACGCAAATTGCCTGTGGCAGAGGCTGCCGTGGATTGGATCCTGTGAGTTCGGAGACTGGCTATGACCTCAGGACGGACGCGGGCAGGACTAAGGCATGGACGTATATCGAGAAAGCGGACCCCGATGTCGGCGTGTTCGCTTTTCCCTGCAAACCTTCGTCCCGCATGCAGCACATGAACCGCAAGACGGAGGAGCAACGCCTACGGCTGCAGGAGATGCAGATCTCGCCATTCGTGGCATCCCTGGGTTCGTGGCCAAGGTTCGAGGCCACCAACGATGGAAAAGGGACAGCAATTTTTTACCGAGCAGCCATGGTCAGCATCAAGCATGAAAGCTGGAGGATATTCAAGAAGCAACTCGAGACAACAACGAGGGCTTCGTGAACATGTGCATGCGTAACCTACGGTGCCTGGAGACAGGCTACTACTTCAAGAATGGCACCTGGGTGGCTCAACTTCGAGGTCCGCCCTCGAGCAGATCTGCATTGAGTGCGACGGGAGCCACCCCCAGAAACACATCAACGGCAGCGTCAGGGTGTCAGGACCCCCAAACGCATGCAACTCAGCGAGTACTGTGGCGGCTACAACCAGGAGTTCGCCACGAACGTGACCGTGGGCTTCGAGATGGACCTGCCAGACTACTGTTACCTACTCCATCGGACAGATCCGAGACCCGTGCTGGAGCACGGTATCCACACGACCGCCTACAACAGCAAAAGGACGCTCATGGACAAACACGAGTACGCCCTGATGCGGAACATGCTCGATGTCGCCAAGCGCCAGAAGCTGAATGAGAGGGAGGTCCAGAAAATCATTGCAGTCGAACCAGACGACCGACGCCGAGCAAAACGCAAAATTAAGAAGGACGAGGAGGACACACCAGCTCCAGCTCAGAGCTCAGCGAGTTCGGACAGCTTTCAAGATAAAAGGCTGAGATTTTGCGACGAAGTCGAGGAACTTTCAACACATGTACCTGTACCTCATGTACGCCCACCACTTCCTCGACAAGTACCCGACGAAGATGAGACACCTCGACCTCCCGTGCGGTCCGTATCGCGACCACCTCGACTACCTCCAGAGCCAGCCGAAACGCCACCTCAACCACCTGGACCACCTCCGATAAGACCAGCGGCAATGGCATCGGAGGAAAAGGAGACCCCACCA